AATTATGATATGCAAAACAAATAAAAAAGCATAAAAAATATTTAAAAAAAAAAAAAAAAAAACGGACAGAAAAATTGCAATTGATGTGGATCCGCCCCTGAGTGCTTTATGCATTATTGGGAATCCACACTCGCTTCAAATGTAACTTTAAATTTATCTGTTACCTGTGTTGCTTGTGCAATTTGCATTTCCTTTACTCTTCGTCTCAACCTTCTCCTCAATCTAACAAATGGCCACCGAGGAGGAGTCTGTCTCGTACGATCACGTCTCCCTAGTTGATATAGGCCTACAAAGTGAAATTATCAATTGAGATTTTTTAAGTGAAAGCGATTAAAATTGTGTTTAAAACATTTTTAATCAGTTGCTTTTTAGAACAACGGTTGCCTACAACGATTCGTTTGAAATTATGTGTGTTAAAGTATGTTTCAAGGGTATTTACATGTCATAAACTTCTCAATATTTGGACGCAAAAAGTTACGCAAAAAGTTACGACATCTTTAGAACTTCTCTAACGAGATTTTGTGTTTCACTAAAATAATAATAAAAATAAAAGTTCATAGATAGATCCTGTATTTAATTTCTACTCCCCCCAGTCCCTTTAAATTGAGGCGCACTGTCTCAAGAAGAACGAAGCCCATAACATACTATAGGGCCTACATGTATAGTGAAATATATGAAAATGTTCACGAATTTTTACTTACTGTTAGGCCTGGGCCTGTGACAACCAAAGCACGCCGTGAGTAGATCTAGCGTACTTGTTTTTTTAAACTGAAAAAAAAAAATATGTAAGTGTATATTGTGACAAACTAATTATAAGCATAGAAAAAATTACAAAATAAAATCAATGATCAGCGATTCCAATATATTTCATAAAACATTCGCCAACAGTTACAGGGGACTTATTACGTAGCCACACCCGTTTGGAGAAAGTATTGGTTGTTAAAGGGATAATAACTCTTCGTATGATATCTATATTTCACAATAAAAACATTGTGAACAACTCACAGAAATATAAGACATTCTGTTTTACCACAAAAACAGCAGTTATAGCTATTATTCTGATATCTGAGCTTGTCTTCAGATCACATGACCTCCATTGATGGCTGTACTCGGTTATAATCNATCCATGAAGCTTGGCTAACTTTATGGCAAGTTTGGAAAACACACCAGCGGCATCGTTAGTGGTGTAAATGGGGACCCGGTTAATTTCAGTGTCTAAAGGGACACCCGCTTTTTTCTCACTATTGCCTGGGTATTGCATCATGTACACAAAAGGATGACAGCTGGCAGATGGCATACGCTTTCTGATGGCATTTGTGAACTTGCCATTGCCTGTGAGTCCTACTGCACCAAGAAAGTATGGACCGACACTCTCATCTCTGAGACTGCGCAGAATGAACCCCTCTCTCCTAATTTCGTCCGTTGTGATGCACCTTTTGAAGAACTTTACAGCGACCATTGATTTTGTAAGAACTTCAGTGGCCAAGTAGATCTTGCCAAACGGATCTTGTCTGTTGGTGGTTCTATCCACCAACCAACTTCGGGAAGGGAAGTCAAGAATTTGGAATGGCACCAGGCGAGGCACGCGCTGTTCTATCTGGTCCGGTGGAAAAACATCTTTAAGAGTCATCTTTGGGCGGGCGTAAACTTCCAAAGCTGAAAAGAAAAAAAAAAAAAAAAAAAAAAAAAAAACCCAGTGAAAGTGTTCAGATACATTTCTTGTCACTCTTGTCATGTTTGATAATTTATTTTATCATTGTCATCTGCAATTTTATGAAGAACCCTTTTGTATCCAACACCGAATAGCAACATACATGTAGCTACGTATGATCACAACAATATTAATCCTCACCTCGTTCTGCTTTTTGTTTTTGTTGCTGCTGCTGTTCCTCGAAGATACCAACTGGCTCCCTATCAAGTTCACTGTCTGGGATTCCGTTCAGGTCACTCTCAGGTTTCCTGTTGACCTCCCCAGCTTGTTCCTCTTCCTGCTCTTCCCTGGTCTCCCCGTCCGATTCTTCAACAGGGTTACGCTGGAGTTCAGCCAAAGATTCCCAAACTGATTCTCCAGCTGGTTCTTCACTGTGTTCCCCCTCAGGTTCTTCAACTGTTTTGCAAACTTGTCCCTCTTCTGGGTCTCCTTTGGGTTCACAGTTTGACTCAGTTGGTTCAATTGTTTCGTCTTTCGGTTCTGATTTCATCTGCCCACGTGCTCCCTGCCGTTTTGTTACTGTCATTGCTGCAGGAAAACGTGCCTAGTAACATGAGTAATAAATAGTTCGATCAGAGAAGAAGGAAATAGGTAAAAATATATATACATGTAGGCCTAATTTCCATTCCAATTTTTTTTTGGTGTCAGTCGAATTTCAAACACCCTTTATTATCTTAATATAGATAATTGATAAAATTATGATATGCAAAATAAAAAGTAAATAGAAACAATAAAGCCTTAAAAAAAAGAAGCCGGGCAGGAAAATTGCATTTGACGTGGATCCGCCCCAGAGTGCTTTATGTATTATTGGGAATTCACGTTCGCTTCTAATGTAACTTAATTTAATCTGTTACCTGTATTGCTTGTGCAATTTGCATTTCCTTAACTCTTCGTCTCAACCTTCTCATTAATCTAACAAATGGCCACCGGGGAGGAGTTTGTCTCGCACGATCACGTCTCCCTAGTTGATATAGGCCTACAAAGTGCAATTATCAATTGAGATTTTTTAAGTGAAAGCGAATGAAATTTGTGTTTAAAACATGCAATCAGTTGCTTTATAGGGCAACGGTTGCCTACAATATTTCGTTTGAAATTATGTGTATTAGAAAGTATGTTTCAAGGGTATTTACATTATACCATAAACTTCTCAATATTTGGACGCAACACCTAAGTTACAACATCTTTCATACTTTGAATTTCTCTAACGCGGATTTTGTGTTTCACTAAAACAATAATAAAAATGAAAGTTCATAAATAGATCCTGTATTTAATTTCTACTCCCCCAGTCCCTTTAAATTGATGCGCATTGTCTCACGAAGAACGAGGCCCATAACACACTATACATGTAGCCTATAGTGAAATATATGAAAATGTTGACGATTTTTACTTACTGTTAGGCCTGGGCCAGTGACAACCAAAGCACGCCGTGAGTAGATCTAGAGTACTTGTTTTTTTAAACTGAAAAGAAAATATGCAAGTGTATATTGTGACAAACTAATTATAAGCATAGAAAAAATTACTAAATAAAATCATTGATCAGCGATTCCAATATATTTCATAAAACATTCGCCAACATTACAGAGGACTTATCACGTAGCCACACCCGTTTGTAGAAAGTATTGGTTGTTAATTATAAGAAACGGATCAGTAACGCCAGTTTAAGAGATGTGGTAATTCATCTGACGGTTAGCGGTTTCTTGTATTAATGGATAGACGCAGTCGGAAAGTATGAGTGCGTCTCCGATCCAAAGCTGTATATTAGCGCAGAAACAAATAACCAAGAATTCTCTAGTGTGAAAGAAAACCCTATATTGGTACTTACATCTGATAACATTTTACTCTTCAATCTGCAATTTAACTGTAGAAATATTAACATTCATATGTGCTGCAAACATATTGGTCTTCATATTGAAGCTGTTGTTTGCGGCCTGAAGTTGTCTTAGAGACTTTACCATGGGGTATGACGTCACAAATAAAAACCGTATTTATTGGACCGACTTGTCACATGCCGCAAACATTTCTTTAAACGACAAAGAGATCTTGTAATTTCCATAAAAATGTTAATAAAAAATTAATACCTTGACAAAATAATAATAATAAAAAAATGCGTGTGTCAAAACACTTCTTTTAACTTTTTTAGATGGTAGGCCTACCACTTCGACAGGCCCTGTTCAACACACAGAACTGGGTTGAGAACTTAATTAAGTTATTTATGACGCGTTATTATTGTAGAAATTATGCAAAATAACAAAACAAACAAATCAATAAAGGAAAGTGAAAGTCTCGTTGTCAGAATTTATTTTTCAATGTTTGATAAATTTTAATAGTGATATGAGACCTGTGGCGTCGTGTTTGACCTAGTTGAAAACGAAGAGTTGTCACATTTCGAGGCACGAGGTTTTGAGATAGGTAGTGCTACTTGTAATTTCAGTAATTTGGCTTAAACGTCAATTACATAGTCAGTACTGATAGTATTTACTAATAAGTCTGATAAGCATTTCAAGGTGGTTCCACGGTTATTATTGCTGTGAATTTTGTTTCCTCACCNAAATGAAGAGTTATTATCCCTTTAATTATAAGAAACGGATCAGTAACGCCAGTTTAAGTGAAGTGGTAATTCATCTGACGGCTAGCGGTTTCTTGTACTAATGGATAGACGCAGTCGGAAAGTATGAGTGCGTCTCCGATCCAAAGCTGTATATTAGCGCAGAAACAAATAACCAAGAATTCTCTAGTGTGAAAGAAAACCCTATATTGGTACTTACATCTGATAACATTTTACTCTTCAATCTGCAATTTAACTGTAGAAATATTAACATTCATAAGTGCTGCAAACATATTGGTCTTCATATTGAAGCTGTTGTTTGCGGCCTGAAGTTGTCTTAGAGACTTTACCATGGGGTATGACGTCACAAATAAAAACCGTATTTATTGGACCGACTTGTCACATGCCACAAACATTTCTTTAAACGACAAAGAGATCTTGTAATTTCCATAAAAATGTTAATAAAAAATTAATACCTTGACAAAATAATAATAATAAAAAAATGCGTGTGTCAAAACACTTCTTTTAACTTTTTTAGATGGTAGGCCTACCACTTCGACAGGCCCTGTTCAACACACAGAACTGGGTTGAGAACTTAATTAAGTTATTTATGACGCGTTATTATTGTAGAAATTATGCAAAATAACAAAACAAACAAATCAATAAAGGAACGTGAAAGTCTCGTTGGCAGAATTTATTTTTCAATGTTTGATAAATTTTAAAAGTGATATGAGACCTGTGGCGTCGTGTTTGACCTAGTTGAAAACGAAGAGTTGTCACATTTCGAGGCACGAGGTTTTGAGATAGGTAGTGCTACTTGTAATTTCAGTAATTTGGCTTAAACGTCAATTACATAGTCAGTACTGATAGTATTTACTAATAAGTCTGATAAGCATTTCAAGGTGGTTCCACGGTTATTATTGCTGTGAATTTTGTTTCCTCACCAAAACGGTGTCACTCGTTGCGGATCAGTGATGAGATGGATAAGTAATTAAGTCATAGGGTGGAGCAAGCACCCTATGCTGACCCCTCTCGCCACCACCCGTTACATCTTCTTGCTTGTATTAAGAGTTTGAATGAACTTTAGCGTGGGACATTTGTGTTCTGGTCCCCTTAACTCGAAAGCATCGCGCATTGCGACCTAGCGCAAGCATCCCGATTCCATAACTCGCCCCATATAAAAAACGCAGTGCTTTCGAGTTAGGGAGCCCTGGATTACCTGTATAATACCAAGGAGTTCCAATAAAACCCTTTTTCAACTCACTTTGCATTTTTTATGGTCTTCTTTACCCAATCATGCTGGAGTAAAAGAAAACATAATATCACATATACAGACTAATACAGTGTAAACTTTAAACTGCTATTTAATGCCAGTATTTTTGCATTTTTTAGTCCAGTTCAAGTGCCATAGTCCACAGTGTCTGTCACGTAACCGTAGGGCATCTTGTCCTTCCATTATAAAGACACTTGGTAAGTTGAAACTGTTTTTATTTTTATACTTTATTTCTCTGACAATATATAAACATACTTTTTTTAAAAGATAAATTATTTAAGTTCACATACCTTCATGCAGTGCTCTTAATTGGTCTCAGTTACTGTACAAAATGTTTTTTTGTTGTTGTTGTTGCATTTCAATGTATCCTCTTTTTCATGCTTTCCTTTTCTCTTCCATGCTTGAATTACAGAATGTATATGTCACAGTCAAGATGAAAATCCAGGCAGTTTGTCAGTTTGCCTAAACAAGATCCCAGATAGCAAGATGACGTTGGGCCAACGTCGGCACCGTTGGCACTTGGTCGGCATTGGCATGCCGCCATCGGGCCAACATTGGGCCAACGTCGGCACTGTTGACGTTGGTCTGCTGTCATTTGGCCAATGTCGGGCCAATGTCATTTTTTTGACGTTGATCCGATGTAGGGCCAACGTTGGGCCAACATAGGACCAACATCATTTTTTCGTCGTTGATCCAATGTAGGACCAACGTCATTTTTTTGACGTTGATCCGATGTGGGGCCAACGTTGGGCCAACGTAGGACCAACATCATTTTTAGTCGTTGATCCAATGTAGGGCCAACGTCATTTTTTAAGCTTTAAACTTATGTTGGACCAGTCTTTTTTAATTTTATGTTAAGCTGCCATCAAGCCAATATTTGGTGAAGTCACTTATAATTTTTTATAAATTTTTTATTTTTTATTTTTTTTCTTATTTATTTATTTTTTATTGACCTGTGAGCTGAATGATTGAATTATCGTCATTTGATCAATTTTGATTTAATTTATCTCTCTCTTTTTCTCTCTTTTCTTCAAAGTCCCCTCATTAGTGCACTATTTGTTTAATTTGACTTGACATTTGAATGAATTGTTAACTTGTTAGAGCTACTCGTCCCGCTGTTTTAAAATTCCGCTTTTTATGATAAGCCGGTCAAGGACCCGGATGTAGCGTTTCTTAGAGGTATGGATATGAAAAAAGCACAAGCGTATCAAATTGATACAATTCGTTGAGTGATTTGATTCGTGATGCGATTGAATTGGAAGACATTAACTCTGGCGACGAGGTAGTGCAAAACTGTGAGCCAACTTTCTTTGAGAAAATGGAGGAAAAATGTGAAATTACGAATCGAACCATACAGAAGTCCGGAGACATTAGGGCCACGCTGGACGCTGGCTAGACAGATTTAAACTCTTCGCTGGTGGAAAATGATTGATCGTTTCAGAACCAACGGACGGAATGAATAATGAACAACGACAGAAAATTAAAAATACATGTCAGAAGAGACGCGCGCTTATGTTGCATTCAGCAGGGACAGGTGTACAAGATATTTTCAGGACTCTCCCAAACACAGGTGAGAAACATGAATATACATAGACAGTTAACGCTTTAAAAGGAAGTGGAACACCAGAAAATGTGAGTATGGTGAAACCGAAGTCATTTGACAAACCAACTCAGTCTAAACACCACGAGTTCAGACACGAAAAACGAATAGAAACCCTCCGACTGAGAAAACAAGGAACGTTGGATCACTTTGCAAAAGTCTGCGAAACTTAAACTATTATTCAAGTAAATGACAGTTATGAACATGATAATCCAGGAGTGCATATACATTTGGTGTGGGAACCAATGCAATATACACAGACATGATGGAAATAGAGATAGGCGGCGTTATTGCCAGATTCAGGTGCATATTGTAATATTATTGATGAAAATGCATGGGGAATGCTGAAATCCAAGAAAAATAAATGTGGCTCATTGGAGGACCACAAAACAAACAGTATTATTGTGATTTAATTCAAAAGCATCAACAGTATACTGGGGTTTGTTTTTGTGCACATGTAATTCTCTTTTTTTTTTAGTACATCTATATCTATGGAGTTTTCATGGTTCTTTTTTCAGAGTTTACATGTATGTAGCCAGCATGCTAGTTGAATTGAAACAGTTACTGCATGGTTATTTATAATTTTGTTATAACTCTCCTTCATCTAAAAAAACAATGTTTTTTTCATTCACTATTCAAGATTCATTCATTACAGAACTAGTGATTATGTTTATTAATGTTACGTTTGAAATAGTTTAAAAAAATGACAATGTATAATATTATTTAGGCTAAGGTGTGCAAAAATATTTTTGCCCCTCCCCCCCCCCCCCCCCATGTACATGCATAATTTATTCACAATTTTTGTGTTAGTTCGATGAGCAGCTTTCTTTAGTAAAAAAAATAATGTTTGTTCTTTTTTCTTTACATGTATATAAGTGATATTTCCCCCTGCTTAGTGTCTGTATATTTGCCTTTTTGCAGTGTAGTTTTTTTAAACATACATTGTTTTGTACAAAAAGACAAGAGGTTTCTTATTTATTAAATTTATTGACATTCTATTTACTGTTGATTTGGTTACGTATATATATATATATATATATATATATATATATATATATATATATATATATGTATGTACTTTGAACATAATTGAACCAATTTTAACTTTAACTAAAAAATGAAGTCATAAATAAAGTGATTCAGGCTTTTTTAAACTGAAAACATCCTGTAGAACTTAATGTACAGGGTTAATATAAGGTTCATTCATAAATAAGTTTTATGTAACTAATTAAATATTCAGATAATATAATTTTCAGACTTGATCTCAAGTAGGAATTTTCAGAAATTAAATTTGGCCATGAAATTGGCCATGAAATCACCACTATGATATAATAAAGAATATATTTTGTGTTGCAGACAGAAATTGTTATCGTTGTTGTTTTTGCTTATAATTTCATAAAGTTAATCACTTACTTTAAAATAAAAAAAATTAATTTTGGGCCTATGCAGGGCCAATAAGCTGGTTGGCATAATTACAATGGGCCAACGTCGGCCCAACGTCATAACCCTGATGCTGGGCCACCATCGGGCCAACCATTACCCACCGTCGGGCCAACGTCGGCCCATCATCGGGCCAACGTCAGCTGGTTGGCAAAACGACGTTGGCCCGACGTCGGGCCAACAGATGGCGGATGAGCACGGACGTCGGCCCGATGCTGGCACCTGCGCTGGCCCGACGTCGGCCCAGTGCACTGGTCGGCCTTACGACGTTGGCCCGACGTCGTAAGGCCAACCATGCCGACGTTGGCCCAGAGTCGGGCCAACGCCTTGTTGCTATCTGGGATCAGTTTAAATCCATTGTCAATTCTAAGCCCACGTGATCAGTTTAAAAGGCTTGCATAATCAACTGACATTTTTTGTCAATTTTACATTTTTACAATTTTGTCAAATATATGGAACAACATCTGGTTATGGGAAAACACCGACAGTTTATCTTCTTTATCCAGCATGCAGAGCATAATTAAACGATCACTATTCACTGTTACCACATAAGTTTCAAGCTTTGGTTGATTTATGATGCCCTTGTTGCTTTGTTGTGTCTTGTGTGATGCTTTGTGCATTTATTGCTCACCTAACACAATGTGATTGTCATTGAATGGCGAAAGTTGCTCCCTGTTTACCATATGACTAAGACTGGGTTTCCATCCCTAGATCGATCTAACAGGATCGATCCATCTCCATGGGGTTTCTCACTAATTTGCATAAGTGGCTTAGATGTTGGCACGCCTGCTTAAGCTGCTAAACCGATAGTTAATTACCCTTTATCAGCTTAAGTTGGCGTGACAGACATCTAAGGTATAGATAAAGCACGAGGCGCTGAGCTTTACGAGAAATGGAGCAGATAATTGGCGAGGCGAAGCCAAGACAATTATCTGCTCTATTTCTCGTAAAGCTCAGCGCCGAGTGCTTTATCTGGCTTAAAGCACGATTCGTTAACCCTGTGCACTGGTGCATGGAATGTATTTGTGGATGACGTGACTTTACGCGAAATAAAGCACGGCGCGACCTATTGTCTTTTGACAGGAGAGTGCTTTAAGCCACTTAAGTTTATTGCAAGTAAGCAAGAATCCTCTTGGAGTTAGTATGATAGTCTCTGAGAATGGTCTCTAACACCCCATTTCCATAGATTAGATCGACCTACTTTAGATCGACCTAACTCCCTGGGGGTTCACGCTAAATAGCTGTCAGCCGGGCGGACACGAAAGTTAATTACACCCTTACGGCTTGTAGTAGGCGGGACGGACATTTAAGTCGGATTATCTGAAAGTAATCTAGTGAGACTCCCCGCGGGGATAGATAGATCTAAAATCTATGGGAATAGAGCCTAAGCAGCACTACTGTAAAAGTTACATGTAGAATGTATTTAGAAAATTAGCTAGCATTGAGGTGAACACAGTGTATGTTTTCTGTGTAATTTTATCTCACAGCCATGGCCATGCCATATTTCAGTGCTCTTGGCAATCTATTGCAGATTTACAGTCTATCCATGGCCATTTAGTTATAATAGTTTTTGTATTAATTCTCATTTTGGTTTGCTATTATATAAAAAACAGCCTTAACTGACCAAATATCAATCAACCTATATATTCTGTTTGTCAGTTTACTTAATTAATGTATTCATATACTACGGAATATGAAAGAGATATAGATAAGAATGTTCTTCAGAATGTTGACAGCATGTACATCAAAGAATTCGAAGCACTTGCCTAGCCTAGGATTTTTCATGTTTATTTTACTGATAAGGTCTACTCTAGGGAGTGGTTTGGACTTCCTTCAATAGTTGGGGCTGGTTTGCCTCATCCCTGATTAAACTTTAGCTGTGTGCCTGAATGCTCTCATTATAGTGTGTCTGAAATTTATGCAGAAATGTGCATGCAAATGTTCACAATTTGCTGTGATGTTGATTTAGCATGTGTTCTCCATGCAGCAACATGAGTACAGATATGGAATTTTCATTGTGTTTCAACTGAACCATCATGGATATCATTTTGAGTTGTACCTGCTTATTGTCTCCATATATCCAACGATTTAAGGGATAACAGTTTAGTAATTGGTATGATACTGACAGATGCATAGCTTGGTAATTTTTACAGTTGTACCAGTATATAATTTAGCAAGACCATGTTATTGTATGAGAATGAGACCATTGGTTGCATTTGGATGGAAAATTAAAATACTTTTTTCCAGTCATCTTTGGTTTGTCTTTTACTGACTGGTAATGCATACAGTTTTGGAGGTGCGCTATGTGTCCTGCCCCCCCCCCCCCCCAAAAAAAAAAATGAATAAATAAATAAAATAAAATGATAATAATAATCAGTTGCATGCATTGAAACTCTTGATTTAATTACATGCATATGGCTTCATAATCAATACATAGGTGTTGAAGTGAATAGTTGACACATCTAACATTAGAAGTGTGAAGAGTTAATAGATAATATGGTTGATTTTATCATTTGAAGCAGAAGGTCTGGAAGGTGACATGCAATCTCACAAAGGATGGATAAAAAGAAAAAGAAGGAACACAAATCTTTCTGATTGCTGATTGATGCCATTCCAGATGTTCAGACAGTTTTAAAGTAAAAAAATAATAGTAACACCAAAATGAAGTACCACNACAGATGGAGACACTTGGACTGGTATGTAGATATAATTGGCACTTTTGCCAAAATACCACTCGCCGCTCCAATCAGTCTCAGCAAGTTCAGCCAAAACACCACTCGCCTCTCTAATCAGTCTCAGTATAATTTCAAATACTCCGCTTTGGACTAAAAAAAATTAACCGTCTTAATTGTAAAAAACTGACAACCCGGGAATTAAAGCTATTTTCGTTTTGTCTTCTTTAGATCTTTATTCTTCCTGCGCAAATTGTAAGTAGGACTTCATACAGCTTTAATTAAAAATTCAAATAAGAATAATTTGAATATTGTTTAGCCATTTTCTATACCAATCAAGTAGACAATAATGTTCTTTTCTCTTTATCAAGAAATGGACTCGCGTGTAGCCAACGTCATAGGTTTTGACATAGAGGAAGGCTATGTGTACGCCGTGGGGACAACAGACGACACGTACCTCGTGGCTCAAGACGGGACAGACACGTGGTACTCGATCTCTCCGGCCAGGTGGGCAGAATTCCAGTCCTGCTGCGCGGCTGCTCCATCCAGATGCAGGTCTACGGTAGAGGTCTCTTGGCTCAATAGCGTGGCCAATCCTTCGTCATTCATTCAGGAAAACTGGGGAGGTAGATAGGATTTGCGCTAATATATTTTTTTAATAAAATGCTGCTTAATAATGTTATATTGTTTCCATTTTGCCCAACTCAATTCATAGGATGTTGGGGTAAGGGGATGCAGCCCCACACACAGCCCTCTCTCCCACAAGATTTAACATCTGTTTTTGATGCATTTTTTCAGTCCATGAACCTGTAATTTATTGCAGAGAGTGGTCAAATAGTACTGCGAGACGGGCCTTTTGTGGTCTGTTGTGTTCACACAATTGATTCTTTATATCAGTTGTAATGGTAGTGGCTTAATATTCAAGATTATAACTGCAATATGTATCACAAATACAAACGAATGGCCATTTTTGGTCATGGGTCGATAACAGTTAGACTAATTTATGATTACAAAAGCCCTGATAATCTCCTACTAAAGAGTAATTTTGTATTGTATTTTAATTTAGACTTTACTCTTACCTATTGTTGAAACATTGGTATGATCCCTTGCGCAGGATTTCTTCAAAATAATTGCACTATTCTTATATTTTATTTTGTAGCTAATTTCAATGGAATGTACAACAGTGACACGGGAGTATGGGTTCAACACCTTGACTGGACGGACTAGGACCTCAGAACTGCGAGGATTAATGGGACATAACGAGAACGTCGATAATAAACGCTTTGAGAGGAGCTTCTTTTGACTTCGTTTCTCGCACATATGTCCCTTGTTACATGTATATTAGGAAAATGGTAACTGCACAGGTGCAGAGTACCAAACATGATTAAATATCACTCGTTCAAAGGATAGACATTAGAAGGCTTCTAAGTTAGATGTTTTGTTACTCGCTCATTTTACGTTAATTGTGGGAAAATGTTAACTTCCATAACTAGTACTGCTGCGCACTTAACTTGTTATAGCAAGATTTTGCCTCTCGTTATAATTCGTTTTATGTGATTTAAAGTATGGGCAAAACAATCGTATACTGATATTGTACAATGATTATGAATATGCGTCCCAATAACCGTCCATTTATTTATTTATTTATTTATTTATTTATTTTAAGACTGACAAGGTAATTAGTACTATAAAAACAAATCCAGTAGCATTTTAAGCAGCTGTGTTATAAATCCACAAACGGGGCACCAATATACCATTATTCAGAATGGGTGAGGTCACCTTGAGGATATATTCGACCCAAAGCTCGGTTGATTGACTGGCCCCGACAATATTATACAGGTGATACACTGTAATATTATAGTGTATATGTAAAACTGTGATCAGTGAAAAGATATAAAGTAGTTGGCTTTCGTATTTTCTGCAATATTCCTTGTATGTGTCCCCGCCAGAACTTTGAACTTGACCAGTTTTAAAGCTTGAAAAGAGATGGAAGACTTTTATGCTTTTGGCGGACTGGGGGCAGTCTGCAGTGTACGCTACGATCCGCGCAGAAACTCTCGATCATCTGCCTGGGATTTGGTTTTCAGATTATACAGTGTTAATAGTTTAAGCTTTTTGTGCCATACTAAATTATACTGTGTTACGACAGATTTATTTTAGTCAGAATTTTATTGAATGTTTCGTCATAGAACAGATATGCATGAATGTGGTTGTACACTTTAAAATCGCATAGCTGGATACACATAGGCCTATATATTAATGTAAGAATACTGTGATTCATTGCCCCTCCATTTCAGTGTTCAACGCTTCCAAGTTACATATATATTTTAGTATCTACAGTCTAAAGCTATTGAAACTTAGAACGACATGGAATTAGAGAACATGCACTGACCAGGAAGAGGTCGTTTTGTTTTATTCAAGATTAAATGAAAGTAATAACACAGCTTTGATCGGTTTTAAGTATAGAAATGGTATCAGTATCAGGGTATCATTTAATGAAAATGGATATTTGTTCTCCAGTTCTTCAATGAAATGATCGCCACTCATATAAATTGTGACAAAAGGGACAATCAAACGCCTTGTAGTCGAGTTTTAACAGGAAACGTACATATGTACTAGTTATTATGATCTGTAGAGCACATTCACTGAACTCTTGGTACATGCATCTAATCCGCCCGCTAAATGACTACGCGTGAGGTGAAAATCTCATTTTAATTCCATTGTGCTAAGTTTGTTTTTGTAAAGGCACGAGATCGGGAAGATGTCGGGAATGTTTAAATTGGATGGTTTAAAAAATCAAGAGGAAATAGTTTAATTTGCATGCGTTTTCTCACCACCTGTGGGCACTTCGGCATTCATTTTGTTGAAACAAAACCTGCTACAATGCGCGAATCATACTTTATATTACACATCTTTAAAATTCTGCTTAAATGATAAGAAACAGCGCAGCGTGATGGTGAAATTTTTTCTTGTGCCTTTACTAAAGGAGAAAAGACAACATTTAAACGATGTTTGCGTTAAATTCAAGTTAGAATCCCAAAAGTGTCAATTTAAAGAAAAATGAAAACTATTCACTCAGTGTATTTGTTATCCAAAATGGATTTATGGGCTACAGTTAAGATTTAAAGTATCGAATATATTTCACAACAGAATTAACTAGATGGCAATACTGAATACAGGAACAGTAACATCAGACTATCATGATTTTTGTTTAAATTAATATTCGGATTTTTTCGAGAATAGAAAAAGAAAATCGCATTAAATAAATTAGTTAATTGATTAATTGATTGGTTAATTAATTTTTATGTATTGAAATAATTCATACAAAATGTACTTATCTTTCATGTGAAGGGACAAGGGCGAAACGATGCAAAGCGACATGTACATATGATTCATCTTTTGTAAATAAAATATTCTTTTATGAAAAATAAGTGCTTCATTGTTTTCCAAAACACAGTTTCGAGCAAGCTGTGTGTGAAGCCAGTACTGACCTGCAGATCTACGTAGTTGTTGCGAATTATTATTATTTTATTTATTTTATTTTATTTATTTTTTTTGTTTTATTTATTTTTTATTTTATTTTATTTTATTTATTTATTTATTTATTTTATTTTATTTATTTATTTTTTTTTTTTTTTTAGGCTACCTACCAATAGGGGCTACCAGTAGAGTTGAGGCAGTCATTATAAACTGTAAAAATGTCTATGACAAGAAGGCAAAAACATAATGCAGAGTGCGTTGGGCCAAAAGTAGGTACAATAGTTTACGAGTACGAGTACATGCTTGTACCGGTACAGTAAAAAAAAACTGTATTAGTCCAGGTCCAGGGTACAAGTACATGTAGGCCTAATAATTAAAAAATATAGGCCTATATAAATAACAAAAATATATCACAAAAATCAATTTTTTTTTTCGGTTAAATAAATATATATAGAATTCCTTTAAACTACATGTGGAATTAAACAGGGCAAAAAAAAGGAGTAGAGAATTCACTATTAAAGTCAGACTTGTGTACCTGTACCATGTAATAGTAGTGCCATTTCACGCGCCGACGAGCCGAGAAGCAGTCACGTGACTCAAAGTCACATGATGAGAAACATGGTGGTCCGGACACGAAAAGAGAGCTGCTCACTCGTCCACAAATAACCCGATTATCACTCAGATATTTGAGATAGTAACACCCTATTGTACACATGGAGGACGAAGGGAATGACGGAACGTATGGGTCAGTCCCCGTGACATCTCAGGCGGCGACAACGAGCACTGTGGTAGGAAAGGTGAGAGCATGAGTATTTTGTGTACTCTACAAAATTCATTAGGATCACCGTCTGTCAGTGTAGTTTATTTGCTGTTCTTAAGCCTGATTCGTAGGATGAAAGGAAGGGTTCTGGGGGTGCAAAAGAACCACATTTTATGTATACATATATCTTAATTGTACAGTATCCCATTTATCAAGTTGAGTCAGTGACAGGAGCACGTTTTCATAAAAATGCCCCCATCACCACCTTGGAAATTGCTGGCTATATATTTCGTAAATTGCCTCAGTTTTCGGTCTTGCCATATATGATACGCGGGTACTGAAAGGCCACATAGCACCGTATGTTAGAGACTTTTTGTGACGTCATTTGCCACAATGACGTGCTCAAGTCTAACAGTACTAGTAGCACTGCTGCATACATGTACAGGTAACTGGAATAAGCAAGGCTGAACATTATCAAACAGGTGCATGAACTGATATGAAAGCTCCTGAGGTTATAAACTTTACTTAAAATGTGGATATTTTTAGCCTCGAGATTTTGTAACACAGGGAGTTACAGGTATGGAGTCTTACCTGCATGGCCTGTAAGTATACTGCCACTAGTAGAATGAAGGCTGGATACAAGCCTGTTATTTGCATATTTAAGAGAAATCAGCTCCTGTACTAACTCACACTTGTTGTGTATGCTAGTATTATCATTTTTATTTATTTGAAAGAAGGTGTGACTGCATGATTGTTTAACTGCAAACAATACATAATGTTCTGGAGACTGCATTAGACTTAACCTGGGATGACCCAGTTCTTATAACCTTAAAGCGCTTACATAAACGCAGCACACAGTTTACTCAGGTCAGTGTAACTGATGATTGGAAGGACTACAGTTCACCCTTTACCACTTTTACATAACTATACTAGGCACTGGTGCAACTTTATGTCAGATGCACCATGTACATATATAGGAGTCTCTTACACAAAATAATGGGGACTTAATTACTAGTAACCAATTTTTTTATTTTTTGAAGGGTCTGATTCATTAAGCTCTGAATGGCACTTGCTAACTAAAATTGTGGGTTCTTAAGACTTAATTAATTTGTCTCTAATTAATGTTATTTAATTTGTGTAATTACATGGCCCTATATGGATCCCAGTCCAGATATTTTGTCATTTGGGCTGGAGTTCGAGCACTATATATAACAATTACCTGACTTACATGGTTTGTTTTGCTTCAAGATAAGATATATAGTACTAGCATAAAGATGAGATGCTCTGTCTAAATATGAGTTCATATTTTAAAACAGGAGATCAGCAGAACTTGACTCAAATAAAGTTCAGTTTGTCTTGTTTAAAAATATAATTTAGTTTTTTTTAATAATTGTTTTAGATACTAGTATTGTTTCATGTTGATCGGGAGATTATAAGCTTGTTTACTTGCTCTTACAGTACTTTATTTCTCTACAGTCATATAGCAATCAAATGTATCAGATTATGGTATCGGTCATATAAAGCAATAGCAATATTTCAGTGAAGAAATATAATTCTATTCGGTTGAGCGAAGTGAATAAGAATGGAATTATTTTCTCCTAGGGGGCGACACTGTATACATTGTGTTAGTTGTGCTAGTGGTAAGAATTGTGGGTAAGTTACGACAGTAGTTCATTCGACCAGTTAGCGCAGATCAGTCTACACGTAAATTTTAATTTTCAAATTTTGTTGATGAATTTGTTGTTTTAATTTGATTAGTATATGTGATTCTTTCTGTTTTCTAACTACAGTNGGGGACGTTACACTATCAATTGAAATTGATAAGAGTGCCTGTCTTATGTGTGATATTTAATGGAAATGTTTCCTTCATTGGCAAATGATAACCATAAGCTAAGAACAGTTTAAAATAAAGATTAAATGTAGTTAGTTATGTCTAAAATGTTTTTTCTACTTCAGAACTACAGCAAAAAGTAAAAGTGAGTTAAAACGGTTGGGTATCACCCACATTTTGAACTGTGCTAAAGGGAAAAGTCCATATCATGTGAACACCAACCATGTCATGTACAGAGATCTGGGGGTCAAGTTCAAGGCCATTGAAGCAACAGACCAGATGAACTTTGACCTGAGTCCATATTTTGAGGAAACTGCCAATTTTATTGAGGAAGCAATAACATCAGGAGGTAAGGTACTGAAATCCCAGACCATGTACTCCTTGAATGTAATCCCTCTGATTGTGAAGTTCAGATGATTCTTTTAGGAATAATAATTAATTATTATGTACAGACACAGATGTGTTTTTTTTTTTTTTTTTGCTGTTTTGAATGTTTTCACAGATGTGTCTGTACATATTGCCATCACCTGCGTCTGTCGTCGCCGATGCCGTTGCCTATGCCGATGCCGATGCCGTGCACTTTCATTGTAAACACGATAAGTGGAAGGCAGTTTTACTTTTTGGCTTTATATTTACAGAGCTGATAAATATTCATAAAACGCAGGTCAAGTTCGAAAATCAGCATGATAAGGCCATTATTGTAGAAGTTTTGTTTTTTTTTTTCACTTTTCAGCATATATGCAACACTGTAAACACAATATAAGAAAAACAGATTGGCCAATTGTCATTAAACTCACAGGAGTGATCAATCCTGCTAAAACGCGGGTTGAGTTCGAAAATCAGCTTAATCTGGCTATTATTTTAGAAGTTATGCTGTTTTTTCACATTTCCTCAGATTCAATTCTTAGGCATGTTAACAGTCTCATTATTTAATTAATAAGATACGCAAAAGTGTTTGTTTGACATTTCCTGCATCTTTACAACATTGTTAGTTGATTTTGTAAAAATGATGGTAAACTTGTTATCATGTATTGTATAATAAAGTTTCAAAAATGGACATAAACTCATATCATTGCAGTTTGTCAGATTCAATCATTCACTATGTTCAGAATCTCAGAATGGAGGAAATTGGACATTTTACACTGTTCTATTGATATTTTTCCCATCTCATCAATTTTCTTAGTTGATCATATTAAAATGGCAGTAAACTGTTAATTTTGTTTTATGTTAAAAAAAGTGTTAAAAATGGAAATAAACCCATTTCAAAACGGTGCTGTCTTGTTTCACATTTCCTCAGATTCAATTCTTAGGCATGTTTACAGTTTCATTATTTAATTAATAAGTTACGTAAAAGTGTTTGTTTGACATTTCCTGCATCTTTACAACATTGTTAGTTGATTTTGTAAAAATGATGGTAAACTTGTTATCGTGTATTGTGTAATAAAGTTTCAAAAATGGAAATAAACTCATATCATTGCAGTTTGTCAGATTCAATCATTCACTATGTTCAGAATCTCAGAACGGAAGAAATTGGACATTTAACACTGTTCTATTGATATTTTTCCCATCTCATCAATTTTCTTAGTTGATCATATAAAAATGGCAGTAAACTGTTAATTTTGTTTTATGTAAAAAATTGTTAAAAATGGAAAAAAAAAAAAAACATTTCAGAACAGTGCTGTCTTGTTTATGTTTTGGCATTTTCAAGTTGTGACTTTGAATTTCCATGGGCCTGAAGACCTTTGCTAGTCACATTTTCTGAATATCCATGATACTAATATTTTATTATTAAAAATTGATGGTCATTATGCTGTTAAACATTATGTAATATTGCATCAAAATTTGAATAAAACCTATTTTGGGCACTGCTCCCATGATGACCATTTGAGATAAACCATGTCACTTACTGTTCTCAAACAGTACAGTAAATATATATAGATGTGTCTGCACATATTGCCATCACCTCCTTATGTCGTCGCCGTCATCGCCGTCATCGCCGTCATCGTGCACTTTCATTGTAAACATGATAAGTGGAAGGCAGTTTTACTTTATATTTACAGAGCTGATGAATATTCATAAAATGCAGGTCAAGTTCGAAAATTAGCATGATCGGGCCATTATTGTAGAAGTTATGCTGTTTTTTCACTTTTTAGTAAATATGCAACGCTGTTAACACATTTCAAGAAAAACCGATAGGCCTGTTGTCATGAAACTCACAGGAGTAATTGATCTTACTAAAATGCAGGTCAAGTTAGAAAATCTGCATGATCTGGCCACTTTTTTTAGTAGTTGGCCATTATGGTAGTTGACCATTGTGATGACCATTATAGGAAAACCATGTTACTTATGATTGCCAAACGTTCAAAAAAGAAATACAGGACTAAAATGCAGCCTGAGTTGAAAAAGCCGTCTAATTGGCTTCTTTTTCTGGAAGTTATACATTTTCAAAGTGTGAACTTAAACTCCCATGGGCCTGAAGCCTTATGCTTGTTACACATTTTACTTACATTGGTATTACCCGTTGAGCATAGTTCAAATTTGATGTTGAATTTGCAGTTTACGGTAAAGTCTTGAAAATTTCGTCGCTTAAAAATTAATTAATATTTTTAATTGTGTAAATCCGACTAATTTTTCAAAATTACCTCTCCCCGACTCCTGGGTATGACGAAATTTTCAAAAATCCTGCCTTTGGGCTTTTATCCTTAGCGACTGTTATCTTTGACCTTCCTGTATGGTAGGATATTTATTACTACTTCCTAAGTCATTTTCTGGTGGTAAATAATAATCTATTTATTTGTGCATCTCGATTAAGTTACATTTAACTTACTGTACCCGAAAACATGTTGAGAATTATTTTCTCGGTAAGAAACATACCTCCTGATAGAGGAGAAGGATCAGGATAAGCCTAATTGCAACCTTGCATCATAACCTGGACGAGACATGTTAAAAAAAAATTACGCACTTGGGAACGTTTGTTGCATGCAGGGCTTTTCCCAGGATTGAGTGTCAGGCCTTCTAAAATTACCATCTGTAACTTCCTAAAAATTTACAGGGAGTTAAAATAATGATCTCCCGTTGACGATCTTGCGCAATTTAAGTTCCTTGAACTAATATGAAAACTGCATTTTTTTATTGCTTACATCGCGAACAATCTCCCGATGAAGATGTGAAAATTGCCTTTTCGTCTAGCAAGGATCGCGAACAATCTCCCGCTGACGATCTTCCGCGAACGAAGTTCCCTAAGTCCATTGAACTAATATGAAGATTGCATTTCATTCTTGCTTACATCGCGGACGATCTCCCAATGATGATATGAAAATTGCCTTTTCGTCTCGCTTGGATCGCGAACGATCTCCCTCTGACGATTTTACGCGAACAAAGTCCTGACGATAGTACGCAAACGATTCTCCGCCGAAGATATGC